CCCTACATGCGGAGCGATAATGAATACATAGTGTACCAGGGGGAGTTTAGCGAACACAAGCGCGCGAGAGCGTGCGCACGCTGCGAGCTGATAGATAGATCTCGCGAACGAAGATGTTTCGATCTCGAGCGCGACGAATGTAAATGCGATATTAGCGTCGTCACTTTTAGACAGTTTGAACTACATTATTAGGATTTATATTATGTCAAAAGAGACACCGCGTTGATAAACCAAGTTTTTTTTTACAATATCTGGAGCAAATAACTTTAAAATGAAATATTTCCCAAATAGTGAAAAATAATCAGAAAAAATTGCGCGACACAATTAACATAGATTTTTTTAAATGTTGACTTTAAAATTGAATTTTGTTTTACTTACCTTTGTTGGCATGCGCGTCAGCGATTCGTCGCTAAAAGATCGGGACTGAAACGAGACAATCTGAAAATGAGACGTCCTGATGGCGGTCTTATGTGAGAAGCGGCGAACGTGTTCGCCAAGCCGCGGCAGACCGGTTGTGAAAAAGGGTGGCTCGGCCTTCGGGGATGCCAGAGAGGGAATTGAAGATATCGGCGGAGACCGGTGTCGGCGGATCAAGAGAAGGATGTCATGATGTCGTCCAGATAAGGATCGATAGGGCCCTTCTCGAAGGTAGAGGATAACTGTGCGTTGTGTCGTGGGCACGCCCCGAATAGTGCGGAGTGTAAACACTGTCGGAACTCTTGTGGCGCGACATTAATAGTTGGCAGCTTTGATCGTCCAGGTAGGTGGTTATAGATCTGCTTCGTTCTTCACTTTTACTTCACCGGCGAGAGAACGACGTATACAGTTCGGTCCGAACGTACGTTTTTGAATAGCGGATGTTTCATGCGGCGACTATCTGGAGAACAATGTTTTTGAAACATTTGTTGTATTGTAAGAGAAATTTTCTGAAGAGAAATTGATTTATTATATAAGAATGCAATACACATAGAAAAGCACGTAAAATAGAAAATATAAAGTACATATATATGTATTACATACAATATATTATTTACACAAAATAAAAATACATTCATAAAGAACAAGACAAAAACTGTTAATATTATAGAATGAATAAACATATACATGTGCATTTTTTTTGTGTATTTTGTGTTTTTCAAGCGTCGTAATATCGAAAAAAAAAAGATGTTTCACGCGCTGTGTAAACGAGCTGCGAGAAAAAAACGAGTGTCAACTCTTTTCGTAAATAACACTCATATAAAAGTTTAGATCCCGACGTTTATCTGCAGAAGCTACAAATAAAATTTGCGTATATCGGTTTACAGCACCCATAACAAATTGATCCACGAAATCGTGCTTTGCGGCTGATTCAAACATTTTTAGACAATAAAGCCGGCAAATTATACCTCGGATTCAGGTACACAGTGAAACACCCTCTCTTTTTCTATTCTTGTCTGTGTATAGATCTTTTGAAAGATCCCTTACATACACACTTAATAGATGCCGAGAATCCGGAATATGTAGTTTGGACGTCTGTGGTGTAAACATAACGACACCCGATGATCTATGCGTTCGTGTTCGGGATGAAACGAACCGCAAAAGTCGAGACTTTTGTCGTTCAGGGTGGTCGCTCGTTTTGAAGATTCAGAGAGAAGAGAGGAGGAGAGAAAAAGGCACGGTTTTCTCGCTTTAAATTTCCCCAGACGTAAAAAGTCAGGACAACATCAAATCTTCTACAAACATACATATATTTGTGCGATATATAACTTATTTATTTCTGTAAAAAAACATCAAATAAAAAATTATTCTGTACGATATATTTTTGATATTGCAATATTTGTAAACATTCTAAATAAAAATGACTATCCAAAATGAATTTTTCATCATGTTATTATTCGTTTCCCAGGTCTCTTGGCATTTTTCTACAGAAGAAAGCGCCAATTGTTCGCAATTGATATATTATTTTGCTTCTGCTAGATACAGAGACATCATGGAGAAGGAAAAGCTGAGAGAAAAAACCATAAACGAAGAACGAACAAAATATCCAGACGGAACACCGAAACATAAAAAATGAAAAGAAACAGCGGTCTTAAAAAGACAACCTGGCGACACTCGTTATGAGAAAACCATCTATTTCAAAAACAAGATTATATATAATATGTTACTTGTTCAGAGTCTTTTTATTGAAAAAATAACTTTGAAACGAGGGTAAGACCCTCGGAGACATACTGGGAATACGCGTGCAACATTGTTTGATGACTTTGCGCTTCGAGAGTTAAATCTATCGAGCGTTAGAAAATGCTGTTAGACGATACACAGATCTTACATTGTGTATCTGTCGGGTAAAAAGTGTGACACCCAGGGTGGGATTAAAGAGGCGACCGTGGGGAATCGTGTCATCCCAATACGATATTCCAAAGGGAGAAGATCTCGCGACGCGGAGGCAAGAAGCGCGACAAAGGAGCAACAATTACTTTATTTTGACTTTGCGGCGGGCTTTGCGTTCTTTGTGACTGTTCGATCTCCTTTGTCGACCCAACGCCGAATGTGAAAACGCGATAAAAAGAAACCCCGCGGAGGCATTTACCTGTTCCATAACTGTCAACCGAAATGAGAGGATCGGCGGGATCACCCATATCGCGACAAATGGTCCGGTCGTCTCTTTACGGATTGCCGAATTCTATGCCACTAAGATAGTTTTCTCGGCACGCCTGCGAACGTGAAAATCGAACAATATGCGTTTGCAAACAATTCAATTCGATTAAAATTTACATCGCAAAGATACAATTCTATGTATAGAACTGTATTTTTATATATTGTAAATAAATAATATATGTAATATATATAGGAAACAGGATGTCAAAAAGAGAACAATAATTATAGGACAATTTTTAAAAAATTTTTAAAAACTTTGTTTCTACGACACGTCAAAAAAACGTATATCACATTAGTGAAAAGTGTGATGCAAACAGAAAAGAATGCGATAGTCCGGACGTGTACGCAACACAATGCATTATCAACGCGCGATACCAGCTTAAAGGGAGTTTACATGAAAATTCATGAACTCGCTTAACCGATTTTCATGGTGCCACGAACGAAATCCGTATTTTAGAGAAAAAGTAGGTACTCCTTCGCGCGCTGCCTTCGTATAGTGGACGACATTGAAGGATCGCGCTCGTCCGCCATCGACGCCCTGCTTTGCACTTGAATAACCCAATTTCGGGATGGTGCAACTTCCTCGGCGCATCCACGTCCGCAAACAATCCATTCGACGAAGATTTACGAGCTGAATTTTATCGCGCGCGCTTCGCATTCTTCGCCTGTTACATACGCGCCAGCCGTGAAACTCCTTTAATGCGGTCATACTTCCTTTTACTCTGTCCCGAGGACTTGTGAAAGAAGAATAGTAGATAAAAATAGGATTTGAAAAGAGGTGAGTTCTTTAAAGGGATAATTTTTATCCGTCACGAATAAATATTACGCGAAACCTAGTTTAGCTTAAAAATATTATTATATTTATTTTTTACACATTATTATATTATTTACGCGTCATTAATGTATAATATTCTTTTATTTAAAAAAACTTCAACACGTATATATGATTGCAAGTGTGTGTTCAGGCATACAACGTCCTAAAATGATTTTATTGTTTAATCACACGCACGGTTGAGTTCAGGAAAAAGAATGGAATAGAAGTAAAATTGTTAAGTAAATGTTTGTTCACGCCGTACAGCGACGAAAGTTATTCCCATTTTATGAAAAAGAAAAACACTGACGTCGAGACGAGCGGTTTGAGTGAAAAATTCTCGGTCGGTATTGAAATTAGAAAAGAATAGCGGGTTTACCCTACTTTGCACCTGAATGACCCAATTTCGACGTTGTTGCGGGTTTATCTTACGAGAGAATCTCAAGAAAACGATCTCATTTACGATTCCATAATACCGCGCGCCACGCTCCTTTGCAAATGAATGGGTGCACGACACTTTCGAGAGTCCTGATTTTTACCGGCAGTGATCTCGTTGACTTTTTTTTTTCACGTTACCTTATTGTGAGAGCCAAGACGTGCAGTCGTGCGTGGCATGCGACTCCGGTCACAATGCAATTATGCGGGTTGCTTGGGATATATCCCGGCGAAGATTTTCTGGAGAAGAACCGAATTCTCAGACCGACTCGAAGCGCGCACGCGTAAACAAATCGTTTACAAGCTCGTCTTTTTAACACCCGACTTTCCTATACGATTTAAAGCCACTCGAATTTTCACACTGCAATACATTCATATATCTATACTTGTCGATTTCTTTGTGGAAACAAGTCGTCGTGTTATAAAATGTTTCGGTTTATTCAAATCAAAAATTATTTTTACCAATATAAAAATATATTCTGTTGTAATAAAATATACATGTACAGATATATCATTGCCGAAAACAAGTGGAGTTGTAAAAAAACGCAAAAACTACTTTCCGAAATTATTAAGTGCGTCATTACGGTGTTGTTTGCATACAACAGAAGAACGAGTTTGTATAGTGTCGCATATTGGTGAGAGCACAAGGTGGATTCCAAAGACCGTTTTCAGGATAAATGTCGCAGTAGTACAAATGCCGTTTCATTTCTCACTAGACTGGTCGGATCATTTTTCAAAGAAGGGATTATTCGCGCTACAATGACCACATGCTGCTGGAGATTGTAGATTCGTACAAGAGACAGGAAAGACGATGTTATCCGCTCTTAAAAATAAATTTATTCGAGATAAAAATCTAGAATTAAGCGTCATTCCGCCGCGCCAAAACTAAAAATAAGTTTGTTTCTGAAGGATAAACTTGTGTATATTATAAACTTTTGAGATTTTATGTACGACAGTAGTATAATGATTAAGAAACAATATTTATATGTATTTAAATAACGTACTTGATCAAAGTATCGAGATACAGTAAGCCACTAAAAAATTGTAGTTCCTTCGTCGTACACATTAACTGCTTGAAGTTTCATCTTCTTACAAAAACAATGTTGCACCATACAACGTCTAAAATTTCATTATGAATTATTTAAATGCTAAAAATTATGTAGTATTGACACGAATTCTTAATGAAACAATAATAATGACATTTCAAATGTACGCTGTAACCCAAGAATATTCTTGAATCTATCGCGACAATGTTGTGCAATGTGCAAAATTCAAGAGTAGAAAAAAATAATAAAACTATCAAAAATTTATAACCTGGATGGTACGTAACTATCGCATTTTTCCACATTCTCAGATAACTTAAGATATTTAAGATATTTAAGATATTTTGTACATGTGTGTGCGCGTTACGTTGTGATGCAATTGCACTTAAACACTTGTGCATTAGATCTATTAATAAGACTTCAGAAGTGCTGTGCGAAAAAAAATATGGGGTTATATCTTGCGTTGCATTTCCGACAATACACATACCTTTCAAATGCGATATTTTGCCTTCTCAGGAACCTCCGTGCAGGATCTGCAGTCGTCTCACCCCGCCGCCCGTTTTCAATCCGCGCGCTCTGGAAAGCCGTTATAAATCGTCTGTCACGAGGCGAAGAGAGTACGATCCGAGGAGATATGATGCGAAAGTCGGTACGGATTTGAAATCCGAACTTGATTCACGTTTCTACAATGTCGGTCGTATAGCCAACAAAGTGCAGGAGTTAAAGAGAAATCTCGTACAGGATTACGATGAATCGAAATATTTTGACAGGGAGGTAATTTAGTAACGTGTGCTCGTATAAACATGATACTATGTGATTTGTATAAAGAGAACTGTATGCCGCAGTTTTACATATATATATATATATATATATTGCGCAACGTTAATATAAATTAAAAAAATATATATGTTTAGCAGAGGTTAAGGTCGGATGCGAGAATAACTGACTTCAAAAGCGCTCGCAATGCGATGCAGAACTGCGCACGAGAGCTGGAAAAGATAAAGACGTTTTTAGAAGATGAAAATACCTGGTGGAAGATTCTCAAAGAGCGTTCAGCTACTTGTTGTGAGCAAACATTGCCGCACTTGCATGGAATTCTGGATGGATCGTCGGTTACTCTAATACTATTTGAAGAAGGAATCGATGAGGTATGTTCTTTGAATTTTTGCTTATACGAACAATATGTACCCCAATATACAAAATTTAATGTTTAACTTTCGTTTTCTGTGCAGATACCACGTCGTTTTGCGACAACCGCGTCAAGTAAAAAAGATAACATCGCAGATTTCTGCTTCCGCAATTCTTCCAAAAGAATTCCAAATGAAGCGAATTATCGCACGGATTGGGAGAAGCGTACGAAAGAATATACAGACTCTTACGCAGCACCGTACACTGTTAGTGCGAAATCGACGGTGGTTGAAGTTACAAAGTAACTTCAAGTTTTCATATTAGATTAATACTTTTATTTTAAGATATACACTTGTTTTTGCATAAAAAACAGTTATTCTGATGTTACAAGTATTTTTAAAACAATTTTGTTTTACGTAGTACTGATACATACGATTCGAATCAACAAAATGTTGTTGAAACAACTACCAAAAGCAATCAGAACATTGTTGCTACTGAGCTTTGGTTAGAAACGCGGGACGGTAAGAGAAGCGATCAGAAAGTCTCGGAATGGTCGGGCACGTCCAAAGAGACGCGCGACAAGACACAATCTGAAAACAAAGATATAAAGACCGACAGATCAAATAGTAAAGTGGAACAAGAGTTGTTGTATATTATAATAATAATTTTAGCAATATTTATTATACATTATTATTATTACCGATGAATAAAACGAATAAAGTATACACATTCGAGATGTGATTTTCAGTTGTGCCACCGAGAGAAATGTGGTACGGCGAAAATACAGGAACAACATTCGAAGACGCGGTGAGCCCGCGTGAAACATTCAGCAGCGAAAACACCGCGAGCGCGAAATATATTGATTTTGAATCAAACGTGGACATGAGCTCGGTACGTACGTGAAGAAAATTTCTACGTTTGTAAAATCTTATTTTCTTCCTCTCATTAATTGGCATTTTGTTTGCGCTGTTTCAGAAACTTCCATCTAGAAATGTAACAAATCATAAACTTAAGTCAAAAGAGACTAATGAGAAAGGTGCTTGTCATTCTCAAAAATCACTTCCAACAAAAATTCCAAGAATTAGAAAAGATTGATGTTATATGTATATAAACAATTTTTATGAAAAAAATATTTTTAGAATTATTGGTTTAATTATTGTAAGATAATTAAGTACGCGCACAAAAAACAATAACGATGTAATAAATTACTTCTCACATTTTTGTAACTCCTCGAGATTTGCAACAATCGTGAATATATCCACTATCGCTATATCTCTGTTACAGTACGTATGTTTGTCAAGTTTGTACAACATTCAGCTTTCAAATTTGGTTTGTTGATTTCATCATTCTCGTATTTTTATATTTGTTACTTTTTATTATACTCACAATATTTCACAATTCGGACCGCGTGTCGTAGATTTGTTAAGTTCTGCAGAACTTTCAGGAACAAGATTTGGAATGCGTGCACACGTTCTTCGAACAAACATAATGACAAGGTTATATCAGATTGCTTCATTTGTTGTCAATATTTTTTCTCAATTTTCTAAAGATTTATAATTAAATTTAGACACTTGAAATGGAGAAAATTCTTACAATAGCAAGAAGCCCATGTTTTTCTATTGACACTCAGTTAAAAATGGGCTCGAAGACTTTTGTGATTCTACGCGAACCGGCGACAATGAGATCTTCGCTTTCGACTCAGAGAACTTTGACTGGAAGTGCAATCACAATATAAAGGTCGAACGTGGAAACAAAGTGACAATAAAAAAATCGTTTAAAAAAAATTATTGTAGAATGGAAGAAAAAGATGAAGAGACCAAATCTTTCGACAAGTCCGTGAATATTAAAATATCCGAAGCGATTTTAAAAGAGAAGGAAAGTACATCGACAGATGACGATAGTTTGAAGTCGTGCGAATCCCTAGTGAAAATTAAGTTATTTTTTTCGAAGAACAAGTGCCCAGAAGCGTGCACGGAGTGTGGAAAACTCATTTCAGATAGGTACACACGATGTTCGTTTGATAATCGATTTTACTGGCTAATTAATTTTCTCCACACACACATATTAAATATATATATATATATATATATTTTATAATTACCTGTTTTTTTTATATTTTTGATACTATACGTATTTGAGTAATTTTTTTATTATTGTATATTAAATATATATTTAAATATGAAGAATATAATATCATATCATCGATGCGTATGTGTGTGAGAACATTTCATGCGTGTATTAGAAAAGAGCGCGTTCGGTCAATGAGTTCGGAAGCGGTTCGACCGCAGTAATGTCGATCATACATTTTACATAAATTTCAGAGCACAAACGTCGGAGTACAAACCGCGAACATTGCGTGAATCATCATCTTGTCAAAAGAAATCCGAGACAAAGCCCGCGAAAAAAGTGCCACTGTCCGGCAGACTAAAAACCAAAATGGAAGAAGCTTCTAAGACGCTACAGGTTCTTTGTATTCCATCTTCGTGTCTTCTCCGGAATATATTCTCGTGTGTGAGTTGAAGACTCTCAATAAATAACTTCCGACAGAGTGCCTTGCCGTTTCTCGAGACGACGACAATGCGAACAGCGACGAAAGTGAAGTCTCTCTATAATCGCTTCAGAGCGAAACGCGTACTGGGATTCAAGTGCGACTTGAACAAGTGCGACAACACTTTAATGGAGTGCAGCGCGAGATCTTGCAGAAAAGTGACTATGCTCTTCGGTAAGCAAAATCATCCGAAACCGATCGGTTCCGATAATAGCGACACTTCGACGATTTCAAGTACGAGCGAAACAACTCGGGAATTTTGATCATCGCTAATATATTAACTGTATCTAAGCAATGTGGAGTAAAATAAAACAATTGAAGCAAATCTTTTTGATGATGAATCTGGAAATGAGAGTGTCACAAATTATGTTAAACTCTTTGAAAGTTGTTTCACCTCAACAGGTGATTTTTGAAAAAAGTAAAAAAACTTAAGAAAATAAATAAATAAATAAAAAGAGAAAGAGAGAGTGTGCCAGGTGTGCTCGTTGGTTTACGTGGGCGCTAAGTAGCGATATTTCACTGCGTAGATATTCAGGAGGCAAATCTTTTATTGCTTGTAGACCGAACGCGCCACAAATTCTCCGGACTCGCACATATAATCTGAATGTAAAAAGCTCGTTATTACGGCGGCTATTATTAAAAAATCAGAGTCTTTCAATCGACAACAAAAACTACACGCAATTGAGTGTCGGATTTGATCGTGACATTTTCTGCAGAAATTGTCTGTAGACTTACGAGTCTATTGTTTAAAGTTTAGACGATTGTTTGATGGGAGGCGTCACCTCTCGGAACAGTGCGCGTGCGTATATTTTATTTGTGAACATATTTTAAACAACAAACTGACTAGACATTGCAACTACACGGTTCAATTACACGTTCCGTTACGTCAGATCAAAAGTTTGTTTTAACAAATTTCTAGAAATAAATTGAAACAAATTTATTTTACTACACACTTATTTGTTTGTTTGTTTTTTTTTATTTCTTTCGATTAGGTATTCAAACGTCTCGCGTAATTTAACGAAGACGATTCATGCGGCGTTTGTCCACCCACGCTGAACTTCCCCGACACGCTCATAGATCGTACGAATCGCGTGTTTTCTTTCTTATTGGCTGATTGAATAATACATGTAACCGAATAGTATTAAACCGGCCGAGCGGGACACGCGAGGTCCATGACGCCTGTCATGTCGGGCGGGTTATGCGTCAGCATTTTGACGAGTTGTTTAGGTCGATCAATTTATCGCTTGGGATACACACGGAATAGTCGCGTTTGCATGTATATATTATTTGTCGATTTAGGATTAACGACGCGACTATCTGAGATAAGCTTCATAAACGTGTTTGTCTACAATATCAATTCATCATTTTATATCTATTACGTGTCCATCTTAACGCTCGACGTTCGTGATTATTATGTATATTTATATTGTTGTCACATAAATGCGTGTCACTTCAGAATGCGGAAAACTTTCAGCCGACAGTTCCTACCTCGGTCGTTCACGTACGAGAAAGATTTAATGTGCGCTGAAAAGAGAAGTTTTTTCTTTTTTTTTCTACGATTGTTCAGATTCTCGTTCATGTTATTCGACAACGAAACAGCCATTTGCGCGACGGCGCGCCGTTTTCCTCTCGCGGCATTATAATACTTTTCTGCGTCTCTCGGATAAAACGGTTATAGTTGATCCTAAGCTCTAATGGCCGTCGACGTCCATTACGCGCGCGAGAAATTACGGTACGAGCAGAACGTCAAAGTACTTGAGTAATATACAATTTCCATTACGGCTTTAGAGTTTTGCAGAAAGGCGCGGGGACGTTGGATTCCCGGGCGAGATATCGGCGGATGCCGCACTCTCGCAGGAGGTCGCCGTCGTTTCGCCGCGCGTGTAATTTCCCCGCCGCGGCGAACTGCACTAAAAATATTATTATTTCGTCGCGCATGAACGGAACGGAGGGAGAGAAAAAGTATTAATGACAGAGTATTACACGACGCGTCGGTCGTGCGCAAAAATCATCTGGCTAAATCACCGGTCGGACGCCTGTAATCTCGCCTATTCAACGTAATTTATTACGCATTGATATTTACAATCCTTTAGGGTTAATATCTCTCTCCGGGTCCGCGCGACGATTGCCTCGCGAAATCGCCGGTAATGCGAAACCCTCGTCGAGAACCCGACGACGACGACGATCCCCCGAGATTGCATATTTAACGCGCGCGGCCAAACAAATTGACCTAGCGCCCCATTACGAGACATTTGCGAATCAATCAAAGACAAGTGGGCGGCAAATTTACATTTAATTATGGTTTACGCACGGATGTGTATTTGAGAAAGGTGCATTTTACGTTTATCCAAGCATTTGTTGTTTCTTCGAGCTTTCGTGAAATGACTGAAAGAGGAATATATATGCACGTACAATACATATGTAACGAGAATTGCTTTTTAAAAGTGCCAATTAACTCTGAGAGAGAGAAAGAGAGCGCGCGCACACCCCAACTAAAAACTAACGTACGCACAACTTTTTTTATCGGCATCGAAAGGCCCGAGGATCCCGACGTTGGTTTTCGGCTTCAATATTCCGCGCGCTTATTCTACATAAATTTACTGCTGGGCCAGGACGAGAAAAAGAGAGAAAGAGAGAGAGAGAGAGAGAGAGACAGAAAGGAGGGATGGTTCCTCTCGCCACGCACACACGGGTCCCGTGCACGTTGCATAAATCACAATGAAAACGCACGCCTCATTATACTTGCAGGCACTCGTGTAATTGCGACGGGCGTGTCCGCGCGTATTTACCCGAGCAGATCCGCCCGGTCGGTTGGTTCGGCCGCGCGTGTTGCCGAACATTATCGCCGCGTATACGTGTGTTTGCGGTTAATTTCTATTTTTTCTTTCCGGGTCTTCACGTCTCATCTCTTCGCTCGCGAGAATCCGGCCGTGTTTTTCGCGACCGGAAACGGGAGACCGGATATAGGCGTGACGCACGACTCAAGAGCGAAACCCGTAGTAGTGCGGAATTATACGTTTTCATTATGCGGAAATCGTTTTTATCAAGTTGTCGTCGTTTTCTTACGTCACATTTTACTTCGTATAGCTGTGGTAACGGTGACTTCGCTGGCGTGAAAATCCGACTCGGCAACAACGGTCGGAAGAATACGCGCACGAAGACAACGGCGCGATTAATTAACGTCGAATGGCGCGCACGGTCGAGGCGTATCGTGACGGCAATCGTTATCGGCATAATCCGATATTGGTTTTATACGCGATATCGATAGGTGTACTCGCAACGTTCGCTTCTACCTCCTCTCTCGACCGCGGTTTTGATGAATTGCGGCGAGCGCTCGCGCTCGCGCGGTTCGCTGAGCACGGCGGACGTCGCGCCACGGAAAGACCTAACTCACCGTGAAACAATGCAGGTGAAACGGTATCCTTTGAAAGAAAAGAAAGAAGAGACAAGAAAGTCCAGTCCGAGAAGAAAAAGAGGGAGAGAGAGAGAGAGAAAGGGGAACAGCCCACCCGCGTTGTTTACACCGAAGTTCCGAAGTTTTCACGCTTTTCTAACGACCGGGGTCACATCTTCACCTCCCTTTTCCTCCCTTCACCTCTTTCGACGTGTCCGGCGTATCATGTAAATGGAGCGGCGTCGCGCCGTCGGATAAATACCAGCTGGTGAGACGGTTCAGGTGGGGCTGTCCATCGAATTCGTCATGGATCGTTATTCAAAGTCCACCGGGGCCCCGGGAGAAACGACGAAGCGGCGGCGCGACTATTAAACGGCACTTTAAAAGGTTGCGTATCTCGCCGGTTATTGATACATACTTCGGCGACAATTTATTGCGGGACTTCTCGTTTTAGGCGCCGCGAAGGCGCGCGCGTCCCGATATCGGTTTCACGTTCGTTCACGCGCGCTGTGGAATCTCTTACGTACCAACAGACATATCGTTCCAACTCGTTGAGTGGCGAAGGCCCGACCGAGAAAAATAACGGTTATTTTCATACAATGTTGCGGCAGCAATAGTCTCTCACGCGCGGTTATTTAACATTAAAGATTAACCCTCCGGTACAAACGGCAAATTATATATGTTGGTAAAGAGGGGGATGTGCGCGATACTTGAAATGTGCGTTGTGTAAGAAAAATAGCGCACATGCGCGGAAAGGGCTGTCAACCATATTTCGTTGCCCACAGGATAAGGTGGTGATATATTATTTCAGCTGTCAACCGTGTTTCGCGTTACACGTAGCAACTACTGATACACACTATTTCAACTGTTTTCAGTAAGGTGCATTTGACATTATAATGACAGAAGAAAGCCTCTTTTGAGGTCCGACCGAAATACGATCCCTTATGTTATTCTTTGCTTTGCGCAACGCTTTACTTTTCTCATTGTTGTATTATTCAATAATGATTATTGTGTGTACATGATATGTTTATAGTATTTTATTTTTATAGTATTTTCCTTTTCTTCTCTCTCTCTCTCTCTCTGTGTATTTTTTATTACCTGTAAAATATTGTACGCAACACAATCATTTAACATCAAAAAGATAATTGCCGGCATGGGATCACACGTTAGGGAACTCTCGTCGTCCCTCGATTTTTCTACCCAAGTATCACCATAAGTATGCCTAATGAAACGCCGTCGGTGCCTTTTTAGATATACGATATGTATCATATTTCTGCTTGGAGCTCGTCTCTCTCTTTTGGGGATCTCCTCTACAATTCTCTCCACGCTTCTGTGATGTGGTCTAATCTATGGTAATTGGGCAAGTTACATACGCGTTTCCGAGATCGAATGTCAGACTAAACGTTCTCGCTGATAAATCACACTTTCGGTACGCGTTCGTGATAATAATACGAAATACCTTTTCCTGACTCGTGTCTTTAATTTACTCAACACTCGAGTTTACTACAAACGTCTTACAAATTCTGAAAGTTAAATAAACTTTTTTAAATAGACAGTGTAAGTTAATCTCTCAACTCTCTCTCTATCTTCAATTGTGATAATATAAAACTTAACCAAATCCTCCTTCCGTTGGAGACCTCCGCTCGCGAGTTCTAACGCGAATGGAACTGCCGTGTGTGTTCGTCGCTAATCAGCGATCTCGTACATTTGATCGCGGATGTGCCTGTCCGTCGATCCACACACACACAAATGTACCACCACGTGCTTAGGCCGCCGCGCATCCACCCACGCGCTCGCGCGTATCAGGCCTCAAGTGCGTGCGTACAACACGCACCGTAGCCGGGCGCTCGGCACAGCGCATCTTCGCGCCGATGCGCCCGTGTGCGTCCGGATGATGAAACGGTGCACTCCGGGGCAATTTGACTTACGACATTTTGAAAGCGAGCC